TTTTAAATTTAAAAATAATTTTCTGAAGGCGTAACCTGCAAGGAATGTGATTTGAGGAAAACCTCCTCTCCAGTCGTTTTCCGTTGGGCATTTTTAAATTAACACACGGACTGAATCCAGGCTCGGAAACTTTCAGGTTCTTCTGGAATTCTTAATTTTCTATCCAAACGGTCCTGAGCTATGGACTTAAGAGAGACAAAACTACGCGTTCGTAATGTAACCCAACAAGCTGATGCGGTGGCCCTAATGGTTAGCGGAATTGGTTCTTCAACACTGTTTAATTAGCAGTTATTACAGATGGTCAGCCGGTTTGAACATGCAAACGAGGCGAAAGGGTCAATCTAGTATTGTTAGCCATTTGACATGCAAACGAGGCGAAAGGCCAAATTTGACATACAAACGAGGCGAGAAGGCGTCAATCTGGCATTGTATTCGGGACCAATTAGTCTCATTTGTAGGGCTCGAGTACCAGCGCCGCCGTTTCGGAAAAATGAGCCAGAAACGAAGACCCGAGTCGAGACTGAGCAGGCGGAAATCGAAGCCTCAACCTCGTTTGCATTTACTTTTTTAAAAAACACAAAGAATATTTGACTGCCGGGCCTTCAACTGTAATAACAGGGCTATTGGAAATGCGCTTGGTTCTGGATTCACACTCTACTACACATCGACTACCAGCAAGGAGAGAATGAATCCAAGAGAAAGCATTCCCCCATACATGGGTCTCTTCTCCCAATGATAAGTATTTGAAATCTATTTTTAATTTTCAGTCCATAAAAACTGACAGAGCTATTTTATTGAGTGGTACCTGATTGGTCCACTCTCAATTTCGAGTAATGTGATGTTCGGAGCCTTTCGGATCAGGAAGGAAATAAAAAATTACTTTCACAGCATAGCCGCGAAAACCTATTAATAGATTTATCAAAAAACAAATTACAATGCGACACAGGGACATCCTTCTCTTAGATCATCTCTCTCTTGCTACCAGCTAAAAGCAGCTATATGTCAAGCACCAATCGATCTGAATCTTAACAAGCCTCTCCAACCATACCCTGTGCCCTGTTTCTTTTGGCTTCTTCTTTCTGTCGATTTACTCTATTTCTTCCAGTCGTTTCTTATCTCTTCCTCTTCTCGTTTCTTTCTTCCATGGGAAAAACAAATTTAAAACTTGCTTCAATTACCTTATTTCAGGAAAATGTATCGAGCGACATCAAATTTTCGAGTTTTTCGCGTGTTCGCTTCATTTCTTCCCCCCCAAAAATCTGAAGAACTAACAATAAATCATAACTGTGGGCAGTGAAAATGATGGATTAGGATGTTGCCGTGACACGTGTGACGTGCGTTGGACGTTGGAACGTGGACGTGAAAAGGAAGATACACATAAAAACTAAACAATTCGCAATCTGCCAAAAGCCATACAAGCAGCACACAAAGATTCTAATGAATTTAAAAAAGAATAAGTAAAGATTTAACCAAAAGCAGACTAACTTTCTCCTGGTCAGCTCTAACAGACTAGCTAAATAAAAAAAAAAAGCCTCGTCTTGTTTCAATCACGCAACTGTTGTGTTTGGAGTACGTTTCAGCGGTGGTCTGCATTAAAAATTACCATGCATATAAATAATTTACTACCAAGATCTCCTTCTCCAGATACTGCCTATTCTGATTCAGAAATAGCATGGCCCTTTTTTTGGGGAGGAAGGAGGAGGGGCAAGTGAGTTTTTTTAAAGTTTTTTTAGTTTAATAATAATCATGCTGGTCTCCAAATCAACTGTTTGCCATGTCAAGCAAAAGATTACGGCATGTTGACCTAGCAACTTCTCTGACGAAAACACTGCGGGCATCCAGTCAAATAGGACCAGCGTTTCAGTAGTTTTCCCGCCATTTGCCATGGAGTGCAAAAATGGCGGGAAATGCAGGGATGTATCCGTCCGCTAATGCTGCGGAAGCATGCAGTCACGTTTACAATAGACCTCGCGGTTTTGGTTCGCCATTTTTCTGGAGGTAGCCCACGGTTGGAGATTATAGTACTTATGGGAATCGATGGACAAGATAATATTTCCCGTTATCCCTAGGACCTACCATACCAAGTTGAATGAAAATGCCACACTTGCCTTGAAAAGGCATTACCAAATAATAATTCATCAAGTTAAGACAGCAGTAAAATCATAAACCGTGACGGTGGTCATGGAATATCTGTAATTAATTAGCATCGATATTTTACGATTTTATTTAGAATTCCGAATTTACTCCTTAGTTTTTGTTTCGGTGAGGAAGATATTATCAAACACTCGAGACAGTGTTTCATCCGATTTACAAACACCTCGAATTTCATCAAAGTACCCTCCGCCTTCACGTCGTATTTTCAACTCTCTTCTCTCCACTGTTTGTAAATCGGATGAAAACAACTTTATCTCGTTGTTTGGATACAAAACCTGTCAAGGCTTCTGGCCACTACCAATTTTTTTGGCTGGTTCATTGTCCTCTATTCAAACGTGCTAACAGCGCTACCATAGCCGTCGACATTCATCAAACCTGTGGAGGAGGAAAAGCCATCAATATTCATCTTTTCACATCATCGATACAAAGTTCTTACTTTAACTTCGGATTCACTTTTCAACTTTAACACTTTTCAACACATTTCAGACGTGATCACTAAAACTAATTTAACAGGAGTACGTCAGGCTTATTTTAATAGTAGTAAGGATGTGTAGGTAAAAGCCACCCCACACAGGCTAAACTGGCCCAACACTGCTGGAAGCTTAATCCGGTTTCCTTAGCATGAAGCGACTAGGAGTATTTGCTAATCCATCACAGGTTACCCCCAGAATTTTGTCTCCGCTACTCATTTATACTCCTGGGGGTGGAGAGAGGCACTGTGAAAGTACAAGTATCTTGCCCAAGAACACAACACAATGACCCAAGCAGGGCTCGAACCTGGGACCGCTCAGTCCGGAGTCCACTGCGTCTCCCACCTACACACATGACAGATATACAGTATCAAAGATCTTTTGACAGCTTACCTTCCATACGACCAACAACTGTCATTCTGTTATCTCTAAGACAAATCACAGCCAGAAAAGGATATGTGGCTTCACGTAGAGCATGTGACACTGTGATGCAAATTAATACAACAAATGAAATACTGTAAAAACTTGGACTACCCTATATGTTAAGCTTCACCCTCCCTCCCTACTTATTTTACCCTCTCCAATTCCCCTCATTCGTTTGTAATAATTTATTGAAATCAAACACAATATTAATTTAAGCAATGCAAGTAAATGCACTGTTTATTTTTATAAGCACAATTATTCATGTACATATTTTATATAAAGGTTTTACACCAGCTGTGATTCTTTTTCACAGCTGATCTATACTGCAGTATAAATAAATATTTTCTTTTATTAATATTATAATCATTATTATTCCTTCAATACACGGTCCTGTACCTTTATATCCTTCTGTAGAGTTCACATTTGCTGCCCAGAATAACATGTTTCCATCACATATTCCCTAAATCCTTCATTTGTCATTGTTGACCTGATGATGAGTACAAGAGAACATTATTAACACCAAAGTGGAGGTGTAAAATATCCACCACTTTCACTGACACTAAGGTAAACAATATTTTTTGTTTTAGTATATACAACGGTACCACACAAGTGAATAGCCAGCCCCAAACAGTTATTTTTTTGTGTGACAAATTGGGAAACAACTTGTGGAAATCCATTTTGATTTTGCTCGGAGGTGAATAGCAAAGGATATCCGGAGTTAGAGTAGCCCAATCTGAGGGTGCGTAAAGCACTAATATTCACTTGTGTGGTATACATACTAACAGGATTTAGGTACTTACACAAATTGTGGGCTGCACAATGGCCTAAAAGTCAGTGCATAATGCAGTCGCTACAGAATCAGACATTTTGACATTTTTCTATCTTTGAGCAAAAATGTTTTAGATTGTTGTTGTTTGTTGTTGTTGTTGTTGTAGTTTTTTGTTGTTGTTGTTGATCATTTACATGTAAGCCTGGGAGTGGCTACTGTCATGTCATGTACTTGGACAAGACACACCCATCACTACTTTCACAGTGGCCTCTTTGTACTACCATGCTGTCAGTTGGGTAGCCCGAGATCAGACTCCGAGAGAAATCGCCGAGCGCTGCCTGGGGGCCGGAACGTTGCCTTCATTCCCGCCCCCCAGGCAGCGCTCGGCGATTTCTTTCGGAGCCTGATCTCAGGCTGTCAGTTGGGCAAAAACTGCTATAAAACAGTGCATTCCAGGAAGAGGAGCAACAGTACTCATGTATGATACTTACGAGTGTGAACATTGAATTACACAAGTTACGGTTCATGGTACCTGACTATCACTGAACCCACCTACAAAATTCTTCTGTGTCCTGGTGCTCTAGGACTATGAAGATAGACCAGAAGAAAACGCAACTCTCTCTTTGCATCATTCAAAGCCTGCAAGACAGTGAACAATATTAACAACATCTACTGGACATGTACATGTCATGAAATGGATAGAAATACAGTAGTCAAAATGAGTGTAAGTAGAATATTATGCAGTAGCTGCTAAAGAATAAACTGGAGGCAGGAGAAGAGGGGGCGGGAGGCGGGATACCCAAGGTGACGGGAACCGGGAGAAATAGACACTGGGTAGTATTTTGCAATAAAAAAAAAGAAGAAAAAAAAAAAAAAAAAAAAAGGATTTTGCAATAGAAAAAGCGCAAATAGGCACAATGGAAGGGGGGAAACCAGGAGTACGAGGTACAAGACAGTGGGAAGTTCAGAACACCCCTCCCTCCCCCCCACCCCCTACACCCCCCTCCCATGTAGTTGATACAAAAACTGGAGTTGACTGCTGAGCCATGCACTTGGTCCATGAGCAGTCTTTACTTACATTGTACATGTACATGTAGAGTATGATCATTGTAAAGTAAAGAACTAATCCTCACAATAATTTATTGTGTACTTTGTAAATAATTAAGCAGCTGCCAAGAAGTGAAAATATTCAGGGTTTAAATGGGATTTGAACCCATGACCTCCATGTTACCAGTATGATGCTCTACCAACTGAGTTATGATGATATGAGATATAATCATCAAAACTCTTATTTTAACTTTTTACAATTTAGATTCTTAGTACCTGACTGTAGCTTCCTTGATAAAAATGTTGGATGAACTGCTCCGTTAATCTGATTCAAATTCTGCCTTAAACTGTAACACATCTTCCAGTGGAGTAGTCCGAGCTAAAGGAACGGGGAAGCAAACAATTTGCATATTAAATACGTATGTACATGTATACTTAATATAAAGTGTTCAGTAGCAGCATTTTCTACCAGGGCACCTTTGATTGAATGATTGGTTGGAAAAAGTTGGTCTGGAACAACATGCATTTGCCCTATAGAGGTGTGCCATGACCAATGAATAATTAACAATATTAGATTATGAGCTCAAGATTTTCTTAAACAAAAATCACACTTGATCTACATGTACATATTAATACCTTGAAATGCTGTTGGCCAGACAAGTCTCACTAAAATAAAAAGATATTGAAAACATCAGATCAACATCTAATTCCTCAAATTGAACATTGTCAAACAGACAGGATAGGAGAATTTAAACGGAATCACCCAGGGGATAGTATTATCAAGGTTCATACTCTTTTTCAGCAACAGTTCTACAGAACTTTTCCAGGACTCCTGTAGATTTTCCAGACTCCAAATACACAGTCATTAAGCTATTTGTTCTTCAACACATCTTTTTCAAATTTTTTTGAGAATTTTCTCCACCAGATTTAGTTTATTGACTGTTCTTTCTTCGCGTCACTGAATTTTGCCATGAATTTACAGATTTCCAGGAATTTCCAGGACCTGTCAAAACAATCATTGCTTTTCAGCCTTTCTTTGCAATAAAGTTGTTGCATATACATTGTATCGTGTGAAGCTCTCTTTCTTATTATTTAAATTATTATGAATTACAATGTATTTAGTACAAGCTGTATATACCATACCAATAAATCCTAGCAAATCGCTCACAATACTGGAAGCAAATCTAAAAGGAAGGAAATGGAATAGACAGAGTCCAAAACAGCCATCCCTGAAACAACAAAAATAATGGAATTAATAATATTACTAGCAGTAATCGTCACAGATTAAGTTCAGTGTGTTTGACGAGCTATGAATGACAACAAAATAGCCAGTATACTGACTATTTAACACTTTTTGTTTGTTTTTTGTTTTGCCCATCATAATAAACAATAATTACATTTGGTTGCTTTACAGTGGTAGCCATACTGGGCTTTTCATTCAAAGAAGATTCCCGTCAATTATATTTTTCCCACTTCAATCATAAGATCCCCACTTTAATAATAATATTATATTTTTGAAATAGTTATCCTTCACCGAATGCAAAAACTGTTTGTTAATCATGTACTTAATTTTATGTTTTCCTTTGTAAACACTCCTTTTGGTACTTTCTTCCAAATGAAATTCACACAGGATTCTCACTACAGTCGAACCTCTGCTAACGGACACCTCCCGTAGGTGGACACCTCTCGTAAGCGGGCACTTGGTCGTGTTCCAGCTACATACAGGACACTGTATTTTTAACCTCCCATAAGCGGACACCTCTTTAAGCGGACACATTTTCTTGGTCCCAAGGGTGTTCGCTTACGGGAGGTTTGACTGTATTTAACCACTTTTGAATTTTTTTCTTTCAACTGTCAGCTCAAACCGCACAAAACGCGTGTTTTTCGCCCACGCAGGAACTATCAATCCAGGTTTCTTTGCCCGACAGACACTATTATTGCCTGATGGTGGATGAACATGACTAGTGTGTCACATGGTCAGCTTAAGCCACTCAGAATCACAGAAAATTTAGTGGTGAACTATAATACAAGATAGTGATTAATGAAGCTAACCTGGTTATGCCTTTGAGCCACTGTGCGTGGTGGACCCGTGACCTCTGTGGTTGGTGACACTTGGTTCTGGGTTGGTACGTCTTCATTCTGCTCATCATCCGAGTCTTCATCGCTCCCTTCAAACAAGTTTTGCCAGGATGGAAAACTGGTTGAGCACCTTCTGCTTCATTCAGTGTATCTTGAACTGCTGTCTGTTTAAGGGTCAGGACGGCATTTGAATATTGAACTGAACAATGGCATTTGTGTAGTCCCAGAAAATATCCATACCCCCTCCACCAGGGAAGGTTTTATGGTCTCGAACTTCCCACCTCCCTGGAATTTCCAGTTTAGCTTCATATTTTTCTTTAAAAAATTTGGCTTCTTTTGAGATCCCTTCCCCCCTCGCGAATTTCCAATGACCATCTTTGGCGGGTGGGTGATGGATATTTTCTAGGAGACTGCACAATAATATTATCGTAGAAAAGGCATCCACTGCCAGCTATGTTTACTATAAAATCTGGTCCAACTAAAAGGCACACAAGCACATCTTTCTGGGGGTATATGATGAAAAATGAAAATATCGTATATGCCATAAAAATGTTCTAAGGCTTTCATTCTAACATTGTATCATCTCTATCAGATGGACTCATTGGTCGCCCGCCCAATCTCAGGAGCAGAATGATAAAGCTATGATCTTTATTGACGTAATCTATAACATAAACATATTGGTATAAGCCTCTCCATTAAGGTTATAATATAAGCCCCCTCCCCGTCGTTTTTTCTTATTTCCATACTAAAAATCCTCACAGAAACATTGTACAAATTCACATGCGAAAGATAAGTGATGGAAAGTTAAAAACCTTTCACTTGCTAATCTCATTGATCAACTCTGATATCCCGAATACATTTATAAAGTTACCGCTCTTAACGAAGTTGACCAATAATAAGACTATAGGGTTTATAAACGGGATTTTACGGTATTTATAAAAGATTTTGGTACAATCAA